TTGTCATTTGAGAAATTTCATTTTCAAGAAATGGTTACTTCATCATGTCATTGAACGCCCATGAATTAATTTTGCTATTTCAGCATTTCCGCCTTGAAATAAAAAATAATTCTGTGAAATAAAAGCAATGAAATAAATAATAACAAAAATAATAGTTTATCCATAAAATAAGATAGAAGGATAAAACTCATAAATTTATGTTAACTATATAATTATTAATTAAATTCGGTTAAATATTGTGATTATATTGATTAGTTTTAGGTAAAAATCGGTCGAGATGTTTCTTCATAATTAGCAAGTTAATTAAGGTAACTTAAGCAGATTTTCCTCAGACATTTGTATAACTTAAGATTTTCATATTTCAGACAGACAGAGGTACTTGGTATGAGAGATTATGAAAACAATTTCTATCAATTATTATTAAATTGATAACTCTTATCCTTGGAATGAAATTTGCAATCGTCTCAAAATATTCATTATTCTCTCATAGCATTGGAATTGCAAATGAAAACATTCGACGACACAAATGTGGAATAAAAACATCCGAACATTTATTTTGGAATTCTGCAATCGGTATGTGAGAGTAAGAAATATTGTTTAAATATTAAATATGGCGATAAATTCGTCATTGGCATGTTCAATTTATATTGTTTAATTTTAGTCAGCAATAAATATAATGGTTAATTAACGCATTCTTCATTAAGATATATGATAAAATATTTTGAAACAGAAAAGTTTTATTCCTAATGTGATAGTAATATAAAACACTATTATGAAATAGTCTTATAAGATTAATTTCCATTCACTAAAGATGATCTCATTTTTTTGAAAAATTGAAAATAAGTAAGAATTTTATAAATTACCTATAAAGGTGAATATCTGTAACTACAGACAGATGAAAAAAAAGCTTGATATGATTTAAATGATATTTGAAAGTTATTACAGCAATTTATAATTACATTCACAAAATGTTGTGTCTATATCAAATTTGTTGTTTCAATATTTGGTGTATTTTTGTAAATTTTTAAGTGACTAATTCTGAATGTGTGTATTTTCAAAAATCCATAATTTCGTTCGTTTTTTGCAAGTATTTGCCTACTTCGAGCCTTTTGTAAACACGAATTTCCATACAATACGCATGCGTCCTTTTATTGATACGATTCCTCTACCAGTTAAGGAGAATTCCCTACTATACGATGATGATGTCAACTGAATATTAAAATCTCTTTTGAAAAAAAAAATAGTAGTGTATGGCATCATGCCTTAAGGCACATTGCTGGAACTTCCCGTACCGTTATGAAATATTCGAGAAATATTAAATGATTCGTATAAAAAAATAAACTAGTTGGGTATGGCATCGTGCCTTATGGCAAATTGCTGGAACTTCCCGTATCGTAACGAAATTTTCGAGGAATATTAAATGTTTTCAAATAGATTATTATAAATACTAATATTTAGTAACATTGTCTAATATTTATAAGAATTATATAAACTGAATTGCAAAGCTAAAATTATTTATTTGAAGTATATAAGTGAGCTTTAGAACTTTTGCCAGAATTACAATTAAAATTTGAATAATTTCCGTATACAAAAAAAAATTGAAAAAAAAAATTTAGAACAATTTTTTTTCAAAAACAATTATTTTGTTAAAACAAGCAGAGAGTATTTTGAATCATTGTAATAAGATGCTTAGGTTCTCTCAAAAACTGCCATTTTCTGCACCTGCGTTTTGCAAAAACTAATCACCACTTCATCTCATCATTACAAATTTAATGTTTTATAGACTATTCAAATCGGATTCTCCGTTCTCCCAAAAACTCGATTTCTATTTTCTGCACTCTTTGCCCCGTATCTTCGAAACGATTTGACCTGCCTTTGCCAAAAACTAATCAGCACATCTCCTTATCAATAGGAACCGAATGTTTTTTGAGAGAATTCAAATCGGTTGAACTGTGCGCCCCGAAATGTGAATGAAAATCCATTTTTTCTGAGGTATGCCAAAATGTTCAGAAACCTTCAAATCGTGAAGATATGCAAAAAAATGCAATTTTTATCATAAGATAGAAGGGTTCTGCGATATCCCCGGATGGCTAAAATTTAAATTCTATTAAAATCTAAAATATAACATTTTCACGTACGTTCAGGCAGCTTTGATGTCAAATTTTCTCCACTTGAGGTTATAAATCTCAAATATAGCCCCAAGTGAAAATCTCAAGTGCATATATATATAATGTGCACTGTGATTTAGTTTACGATACCTTAATATAAATTCTAACTATACGCTATTTAATTGTTTTATAAAATGTGATGTTAATTTTGAGTGTGATTCAACAGTTTTCTTTATATAACCACTTTAAAAACTTACATCTGTGTAGGGCAAAAATGACCAACTGAACATTGACTATGTCTAAAGACTAAAAAAGACTTGGATTGAATTATACCATATTTTTATAGAAAGTGTATAAACCTTCCAGTTTGATCGCATTAACAATATGTGGACAAATGAATATTGTTATTATGAATTTATAATTAAAGTAGACTTTGGGGTTTATTGTGTTTATAATACCTCATTGTCTGTACCATTCAAACAACACAATCTTACACTCCTAAAATAAAGTAATCTTTTTTTATTCTCTAGAAATTGTTTAGAAATACCTTACTTAGCAAAACAACGTTTGCCGGGTCAGCTAGTACATAATAAAAATGTCAGCAAATACTATGAGTATAGATAATTAGTCATAATTGGATTGGGCAACTTTTTGAATAGATGGCAATTTGCCATCCATTCAAAAATCCATATGATAAAGTCAAAACAATTACTGAATGTCCTAAGTATAAAAATATATGTTAGTAACCTAGTGGTCAGTACTTGTATAAAAATCTTCCTGAATCAACAAAAACATTACATTAAAACGATCCAAGTATGTTTTTACCAAAAAACGATTCCTCCGTCCTCTGTCCGTGGTTCGGAATTCCATCCATCTCTTCGTCTTCGTCGTCGTCTTGGACTTCGATAACCTGATTTTCTCGTCGAGTACAAGGCAAAGGCAAAGGCAAGACGGAACACGTGCAATACGGGTCCCCGAGACCCCCGAAAGTAAACAGACCTTCTCGGAATCGCTCTTTTGATAATGCACCGCTATGTGCGTCTAGTTTTTGAAAAACTTTTTATCTCTTATTTCTCTCTCTTTTTGTTGTTTTGAAATTCTTCTTATATTACTCTTGTTAGTTATTAGATCGAAGCATATCGAATGATATGATTTCATTTTTATATTTCGTAGAAAATGATAAAATTGTTATAGGCAAATCAATTTTAAAAAAATCTGTTCACATACACATACACACACTCACATGCTTTTTCCAAATTCGATTCAGAATGGCTTGAAACGTCGAGAAAACATAAAATTAGCGAATCGGATTTTTTTTATGAAAACATAAACTTCTCGTTCAAGAAGTTAACTAGTGGTGCATGGCATCGCGTCTTAAGGCAAATTGCTGGAACTTCCTACACCACAATTAAATATCCGAGCACAAAAAATTAATAATCAATAAATATTCAATGATTAATAACAATTGATTTAAATATTTTTAAAGAGATAATTATAATCACTATATATATTATAGTTCATAGAATATACAGAGACTATCTTATCGCTCAAAACTTTTACATTAAGAAAAAATACCGAATAAATCCATCTGAGGATATATTTCTTACGAGTAGAATAACTCATATGAAAAATATACATTTTTGAACAGAATTGGAAATTTAAAATTTATGTGTTCTTATATATATTTTTTTGAAAATTTTGAAAAAAATCTGGAAACTTTAAAATTTGTTTAAACCATATAAGTGAACTTAAAAATTAAAAATTTTGTTACGGAACCCATAGAAATGTAAACAAAATTTATACTTATTGTTAAAATCTCTATAAAATATCTGATAATTTGATGTGCATATGACTAATGATCATTTTGGACCTTATATCATTTTTTTCTAAATTTTCATCTGTATCTCCAAAACCGTTAGACCTGCTTCATGAAAGTTGTTCATCTTGTCAATAGAAGTAAAATGTTTTTTGAATTATTCAAATCGGGTACTGCGTTCTCTCGAATTATTATTTTTGGCACTTTTTGCTCCGTAGCTTCGGAACGGCTAGACCTGCCTTTGCCAAAAACTAAACAGCACGTCTCCTTATCAATAGGACTCGAATGATTTTTGAATCATTGGAATCGGTTGAACCGCGTTCTCGAAAACGTTGATGAAAATTTGTTTTGAAAAAAAATTGACACATATATCCATTTTTTCTAAGGTATGCCAAAATGTTTAGAAATCTTTGAAATATAAAGATGTATACACACACTGGATAGTTATAAATGATTCAAAATTATAAAATATATTTAGTCATCTATATAGTAGCAAACGCATATTTTAGTAATTCCTAATTACCAATAATCTTTATATTTTTTTTTCTGAAGATGTAAACCCATTGCAATTTCGAAACGTATAAAATCTGAACAAATAATTTCTATTATCGTTTTCTTTGAATAATATACTATTTGTATTATTATTTAATTTGAACAGCTGCTATTTGTTTATTACTTTCGCCCACTTTCAAAAGGATGGACACATAACTCTTTTCTACCTACTCTAATTCTCCAAAATTTGGCAAAATTTACATGACGAATATCTGTTTGGTTTATCCCAACAATAAGATATCGAGATGTAATTATACGGTATGGAAACATATTGAAAGGATTAAGAATTTCCAGGGATTTATATTTGTTTGTTATTTCCAAAATATTTTATAAAGGCCTTTTGTTACCAAGAAAGATGTACTGTCTATACATATATCGGAAACCTTGAGCGATTAAAACAATAACGCTCTTGAAATTACTTTAGGGCTTCGATTTGCGATTAATTGACCGGATTCATAAATGACTTTGCAATTAAATTCCCGGTATTGTCAGGCCAAAGATTTAATCAAATCATGCTCACCTACCTTTTATGGTCGATGCGGCCCTGTGCAGTGATGGTAAATTCGCCAGTTCACAGGTAAATAGCATTCCTTTTACGGAGTCAATAGTTAAAGCCAAGCGAAATGCAAAAACGCCTCGAAGGAACTCTTCTCATCGAAGGAAATAGTCCGAGAGACAGGGGTCGGGACTCTGCAACGGAAGAAATAAAGATAAAATAGTTAATAAATAAAATAACAAAAAAATATTCAAACTTATACATATATGTAGTTATAGCAGTAAATTTATATATATATATATATATATATATATATATACACATATATATATATATATATGTATATATAAATATATATATATATAAATATTTAAAAAAAAATTTGTATTTTTTCAAATTTCTGGATAGAGTGAGTATGAGAAACTCTATTAACACATGTATATACTTCACTATATAATGAAAATAATTGTAAAAAAGCCCTTTCTGTCAGATTTTAATATAACCTTTCTTTACCCTCTAATTTTTTATTTATATCTTTGTCAAACTATAATTTTTTTTTTATAAATTACACATTTTGAAAAAAAAATATTCTGTTTTAGCCCACCTTGAATAAATTTACGCTATTAATTACATATAAATACTAACTAAAGACAATGATGCTCTTTGTTTTGATATTTCAAACAAACAGACATAAAATTTAGTTTTATACACACATAAAATTTAGTTTTGATCATAAAACAGGGAGTTCTCTTCTAATTTGCATATTTTCATCATAAACATAGTCTACCAAGAATTCGTGGCTGTAACATTTTGTAGAGATCTATTTTGACAGTAAAATAATCAAAATGTAATTGTTCATATAAGCAAATCATAGTTTAGAGTTTATAATTTCATGTAAATGCAAAATTAATAAATTTCGTTAAAAAAAGTTTTTCAAAAACCACATAAGGAGGCGTCTATTAATCACGTGATCAATTTTTTTAGTGATTTTTGGACTCCTCCTCCCCCTGGTAATGCGTCATTATATTTAAAATTACCCACCCCCTCCCCCGCCAAACATTACGTGTATTTTTAGTTACATAAAATTTTTCGAATTTACAAAAAATCATAATCTTTTTTACTTTATTGAAAGTGTTTGGAATGTTTCTAAAAAATGCAGGTGAAAAATGAATACACTAGGCTCCTGCCTCCCCCACGTAATGTTTTGTGATTTTTTGCAAAATTTTTTGTACCCCTAAAATCACGTGATTAATGAACGCCCCCTAAGATCATTTCAATTGTACAAAAATATTCGATTCATAAATATGAATTCTATTCTATTATTATTATTTGAATTTTGTCTCAATGTGAATATTTCCGTGTCCCTGGCCCTCAGACTACCACTATAAACCCATCGTGGTCGTACTGGTTCGCTTTTTGGAACAATCTCACGCTCGCACACGGCGATTCGCTCACGTTCATTCAGGTTCTCTGATATAAAAGCTCCTCTAACCCTAAAACCTTGTCTCTTATGCAACTAATAATAAAGATTTTTTAAAGGATTTTGAAAAATTCGGAATTTCTTTAAACCTGCCTTGGCCTACTGCACTATTTATAGTAACCAAGTTTGGAAAATCGTGCAAAATTTAATTATCTATATTATTCTCTATTTCAACTGCCTTTATAATATAGAGTAGCTACTGTTCAGCAAGGCGACAAAGTATACGAAAGTGTGCAGGTGCGTCATTTTTGACAGGCAATATATATTTATGAATTTTATATATCCTACTTTTTTTATTCTCTATTTTTTTTACAACTGCCTAATTTAGTAAATTTGGGGAATTTTCAATGGTCAGTCGTAAAGGAACATTGTATACTGTAGTGACATGTTGGAAAAACAACTCAATAGCTGTTTTTCCATTCGTTATAATATTAATAATGATAATATAAACTTAACTATTTTCTTGTGAATAATAACTAAATTATTTCAATCTTTATCAGAAAAATTGGTGACTTAAATCAAGTGACAATTTTTTCTTCAATCTACGTCGATAAAGAATAAAAAAATAGGATACAGACAAAATTTACATATATATATTGCCTGTCAAAAATGACGCATCTGCACACTTTCGTTTCAAATTTATCAATATTTGATAATGTGTTACAATTTTCGTAATTGTGAAATTGTCTAAATAGTTATAATGATTAATGTAAAAAAATTACGTCTGGGGTTAGTTGAAACAATACAAGAATTGTATACAGAATCAAGTTAAGAAGATTGGAGGATGGAATGAGAGTAAATTGTATTACATGAGACACAATATCTTTTAAATTAAAAGATTTATGAATTTATGATTCATGAGAAGAATTGCTTACTTAAAAAACATGCTGATTTTCCTAATAATAAACAGGCAATAATTTAACAGAGGTATTAAAGTCGTTACTTCTTGCCCCGACAAATGTTACAACTAGGGGAGCGTCCATTAATCACGTGATCAACATTTTAAGGATTTTCAGACTCCCACCTCACGTGTATTTTTAGTTACGTGAAAAACTTGTAAAATTTTTTGAATTATTTTGAAAATATTTGGATTTTTTTAAAAAATTCAGATACACACGTGACATCTTACTATCCGCCTCCCTCCCCCACGTGATATTTAGTGACTATCTGTCAAACCCTCCCTCTCCCTAAAAACCTCACGTGATTATTGGTCAAAATTTTACTTTTTTATTTGAATAAATATTTTTATATTAAATAATTTACAATTAGATTTTTATAATAATCGCAAGAAAAAAATTTGCAATAATTTATGTTTCAAGGCACACATTTTGGCATACACAGTTTTTTTAAACATATTTTACTCAATTTAAATATGAAGTCGAGTTAAAACCATAGACTATTCTCAAGTTTAAAGGTCTCTAAATTTATAATAACAGATCAGGATCAATCCATAAAATAAATTTTCATGACATTTTATGGTGTCTAAAATTTTGACATTCTGAAAAATTTACCGCCTCCCAAATTGTGCCGTCGTAGGTGTTAATCCAGCCCCTATCCCCAAACATGAAGTAAGTTATAACACTTAATTTTCTCTAGAAAATTATTAATTGTGAAAAAATGAACGATAGTTATGAAATTTGGTTCACTGGATTTGGTAGAGAAATAGTTAAAATATAATTAATAAATCTCAAGATACGTTTATTTTAAAAATTAGTCTTTTTTAATTGATAAACCTTATAAACCATCCAAAAGTTAGTAAATAAAGATAAAATAGTTGATTTTATTTAAAAATTGTTTATTATCTGGTTGATTTTTTTTTTTCAAATTTGTTACGTGTGAGAATTTCGTCCGTCGAGGAATTTCATTTCCACTGCACACGTGCACACACGTCTCCCATTCATCAGAGGGACAAATCGACAAATCGACAAAATAAACCAGGTGCCGGCTCTCGGCCGTCTTCCTCGCACAATGTTCCCAGACCCCGAACACTCATTGGCTCCGCGGCTGCGTTCCGCCCAGATTCCGCGGAAACCGTCGGCGGTGGGAGAACCCAATAAATACGGCAGATCGGTGCATGCGCGATCATTTTCACTTTGAACAGCATCGTCGTTGTGAGTGTCAGTGTTATTGGAATTATTATTATTATTGAGTAGTGCTCAGTGTCAAAGGATTTATTAAAGTGCAGCAATAAAAGGATTTATCTATCCATTACCTATTACCATGAAAGCAGTGACGGCAATGTGTCCGAGCGGAGCCTCAGTGTCGCCCGTGGCCAACGGCAGAGTGTCGAGACCGCGCGACGGCGAAAACGCCGAAATCCAAATGTACATCTCGAAGCTCAAAACGCTGGTGCCGTTCATGCCGAAGAACAGAAAGATCAGCAAACTGGAAGTTATACAGAACGTCATTTATTACATTTGTGACTTGCAAAAGGCTCTGGAATCGAATCCAGCAGTCAATAACTTCGACCCTACGCCCATCACCGGGGTACAGGGTTCACAGCCGGCCAGTCCCAGGCAACCCTTGGGGGTCAGGACTAGTCCCAACACGATATTACAGCCTTCCAGTCCAGGGGAATCCAATGTCCTCACGGTAAGAGAAAATTTCATTTATAATAGAATAGAAATACTACAACTATAAAGATACTACCACTACAGCCTTAATTATATACCTTGAATATATCAGAATTTAGTGGAAGAAACTAAAATAAAATTGTTTACTTGTATATAAGATATAATTTTTAAGTAAATCCAGTTAGAAGCAATAAAATATTCTTGCAATTTTGTTCACAATTTCATCATTTGCATAAATTGAATAAATCAAAATCAATAAAACAAAATCTTACGTGGGTGAGGGACGGGTATAGTAAGATATCAAGTGTAATTATTTCTTACCATTTTTTTTAAATTTGTTTTTAAAACGTCACTAAAAATACACATAATATATGATGGGGTAGGGGGTAATTTTGAATATCACTAAGGGCGAGGGGGACTCCAAAAAAACTTAAAAAATAGATCACGTGATTAATGGACTTTGTACGTTAAGCAGCTATGTTACTTTTAATTACGTACGAATGACAATTATTCTTTCCTCGCACAAATGAGAATTTCATTATTATTATTAGAAACCAATACTATCTCTACTATTTTCTAATGTAGCACTTAAGGCTTTGTATGCTGGACACCAGTGCCAAGGGAAGTACTTTCATATATAGTCAAATTTCCATTATTTTTCATTTTTATTGTTAATAAAAATTGATTCCATCCCCATGTACATTTTTGAATGTAGCCCTTAAGGCTTCGTATGTTGGACAACAATGTCAATATATTTGGGGGAGTTCTCCATATAGAATCACTTTTAATTCCGTACTAATGATAACTATTTTTACTAACGACTTGATATTAGAATTTCATTATTATTATTATTAAAAATTGATTACCATCTCTACATTTTTGAATCTAGCCCTTAAGACTTTGTGTGTTTGACACTAGTGTTGGGTTACACAGTAAAATATTAATTATTTACTAATGATAATTATTCTTACCAACAACTTGATATTTGAATTTCATTATTGTTGTTATTAAAAATTGATTGCATCTTCATGTATATTTTTGAATGTAGCCCTTATGGCTTCGTATGTTGGACAACAATGTCAATATGTTTAAGGAGAGTTCTCCATATAGAATCACTTTTAATTTCGTACTATATGATAATTATCCTTACCAATATAGGATTTCATTCTAAAATATTTATGTTTTTAACATTTTTAAATGTCACCCTTAAGGCTTTGTACGTTGGACATCTGTGTCAATATATTGGGGGTAGTTTTTAATGATTATTTTTTCTGTAGGGGATGGGTGGGGGGTGTGTATTTATATAAAATGGGTCTATGGCTGCTTGCTCTATTTTTTATAAAAAAAATTATATATTTATTTATATATGTATATCCTTTTTGTTATTGAATGATGTCAAAATGGCAAACGTTTCGAATCAATAATTTGTGTCATCATCAGGGTAAACATAAGTAAATTATTTTAATTACATATGGTTCTTAGTGTTCTACATCTTAAGTATATGATATAGAGACGAATTTTAAGACCATTTAATAAAAAAGTACAAAAAAGTATAGTCCGTTAATATTTTCATTTTATATACATGTATATATTTGTCCTGTGTGTATGTATGTAAGTGCCTGTGTTCTCATTTTCCGTTGTTGTTTTCTTCAATTATCAAACCCGATACGGCGCCCGAGATTAAATCGTGCCGAGCAGACATATACAATTACTTGGGGGCCCCCTTATCTTATTATTTATTTATATTATGTCCAATTGTTTGTGTTACTCATTTCATATATTGTTCAAACAACAATTGTGCTTGCTTGGTCTATGAGCAAAAGTGCAATTCGACATATTTTATTTTGTAAAGGAATCATTCTTCTATCAACATTTTGGGTAATAAATCCTCCCAGAAAGGGTTAACAGGGTAATAAAATTTAACCTGAACACCTGCATGGTTGGCGGTTGCAAAACTTGAGGAATGATGTCATTGTTGGATAATTTATAAATCCATGATGCATATTTATGTACGTAAAAATATAAAATATATATACTTTTGTATAGAAACTTCATAACATTTTGTTTGATGTTGACAATATGAATTTAAGATATTAATAAAATTCATATTTTTAATTTGCATTACTCAATCAGAAGAACTTTAAATAGATTATATTATTCGATTATTATAGTAAAGTAGAGAAAAAATAATTACATCTCTGTATAAAGCATGAATTAAATTTAATATATATATATATATATATATATATATATATATATATATATATATATATACACATATACATATACACATAAATATTAAAGCGCAGGTGTCTATGACACAATCAATTCCATTGTATAGTTTCTTTTAACAATAATAAACATTTAGAACGTATGAATAATTATTTGTTAAAAACAAATTAAGCGTTTAAGCTCTAAAAAGGATCTACATATATAAATAAATATATATTTTTTTATAAAAAATAGAGCAACAACTATAGAGCCTCTTTTAAATATATAATACCCCCTCCATCCCCTACCCAAATCCACAGGTATTTTTTGTATCTAGAAAAAAACGTTAAATTTTGGGAAATTTGAAAATTTTGGGATTTATTCTGTGCTTGCAATATGCCCCTGTGATTAGTCTTTTCAAAATTACTAAAGACTAATAGTGTCTTATGAAAAATACCAGTTTCTTTAAAGCTGTTTCAAAATATGTTCTTTGGCTATGTATATTTTTTCTTCTGTTAAAAGACTAATTTTAAAATATTAATTTTCTTATAAGGAGGCATCCATTAAACACGTGATCGATTATTTAGGAATTTTTGAACCCCCTCCCCGTTGATGAATTACAAATTACTCCTCCCCTCACCTACCGAACATCACGTGTATTTTTAGTTACAAGAAAAAATTGTAAATTTTTTTGAAAATGTTTGGATTAAAAAAAAAATCAGATATAAAATAAATACACGTGTTATCTTACTATTCCCCTCCTTCCCCCACGTGATTTTTCGAGATTTTTAGTCAACCACCCCCCTCTCCCCTAAATGTAAAGGTAAAGACTTTAAATGTGATTTTGAAATAATAAATACTTTTTAGGGATGCAATAAAAATTAGATTTTAAACTGAATTAAATTAATTAATTTTGTTTTTTGATCAGAAACACTGGCTCTTGGTTAATAATATTTTCATTTTTAATCTATATGATAATTCTGTCTTCATAATTATTTTAAAAAAATTAGTCAAAAAATCGTTCTCACAATTTTTGGTAATATCTATGAAATTGAAAATGAAAGTTCCAATTTATTAATGTGAGATGCTGTTTTAACCCGCTTTTGGAATTTTGTGTTCAGAAATTTTCTTATTATAGTCCAGTCATTTAAGCTTAAATTAGGTAAGAATCTCGGAATTCAAGATACTCAGCTGTAAGTCTGTAAATACTTGTATATTGACACCTAAAAGTTGTCTCGAAACCTTCATATGTTGCGTACACCCTTCCATATGTAGGTTTTGAGACAACTTTAGGGTGCGAATACAGGTATTTACAGACTTATAGCTGGGTATCTTGAATTCCGAGTTGAACTTACTATAATGACTACTAATAACGCATTGTTTAGAATAAGCATACTCCTTGTATATAACATTTGCAGATATTTGATCAGTACTGTAATTATTTTTATTCTATATTATTAAGTATTTCCAAAGATGCAATTTAAACCTATGTGTTCAAAAACTCGGGACAAAATATCAAAATCCGGCACAATTATTGCTTTTAAAAAAATCCGGGGTAAGAGGTTAAAATCCGGGACCAGTAGTATGGTCACCTTACTAATAATGCAGTTTTAACAGAAAAATGTATCTTTTACCATATCCCGATTCGACCCTGTCCCTCGGTCCATGTGTTGGTAGTGCATGTATGTTCTATTCATGCGATGACGTCGTCCCCATGTTCTATGTTCTATGCGTTATATGTGCTATGTGTTATGTGTTATGTGCAGGTGCCTAACTGTTCATCAAATCCATGTCGCCGACTACGACCACGACCACGTTTTCTAAACCAAAAGGCGTGCCACATACTCAAAGAAATTACAACATTGCGAATAAATACTCATTTTGGAAATTTTCATGTAGGGGCAGACGAGTGGGGCAAGGACACCAAATTGTGTCTATCCTCTTGTGTAACTTTTTTGAAATTTTGCTTCCATGCAATTCTCTGTATGTACTTTTTTAACCCAACTCGTCCAAAATCTGCATTCTGCAATCATTTTTGTAAATCAGTAATGGGGTCAAATCTGGTTTCCTACATGCAGTAGCAATGTCAGTTTTCTTGCAGTACTTCTTCATTTGTCTTTTGTATTTTCTCCATTCTTTGTCGTTCTGTCTTAGAATCCGTACAGAGTATTGGGCAGAGTTCGAATTGTGTACTTTTATTAATTTTAGTATTTCCTACGCTATTGGTATATTATTAATTCCGGTGTCGTTATTATTATGTCTGCTGGCTGGTGTGTCGTTTGTCGTTTCGTTTCGTGTAAGAATCTGTCGACTATTTTTACCGAGATATTTACTGCAAGCACATGCTAACATTCTACATTCGAACGACAACACGAAATACTCCATTGTATGCGCTTTTGAGCCTCTACAAAAACAACAAACAGCCGGCGACGGCCCCATTGATGGCCAAGAGAAAAAATTAGACCAAAACTCCCAAATTACACTCAACCAAAATTATAAAGGCCTATTTGAAATTATAAGTGTAAATAAGTATGATCAAGTGTCTAACTAATAAGGGGGCGTCCATTGTGATCAATTTGAGGATTTTTGGACCCCCTTCCCCTTGGTGGTACATGGTGATATCCAAAATTACCCTCCCCTCCACCAACCACCACGTGTATTTTTAGTTACGAGAAAAATTGTAAATATTATGCTTTTTTTTGAAAATGCTTAGATTTTTTTAAAAATTCAGGTAAAAAGTAAATACACTTGATATCTTACTGTACCCCTCTCTGTTCCCCACATGATACTTCGTGGTTTTTTGTCAACCCCCCACCCCCTTCCCCTAGAAATCTCACATGATTAATGGACGTCCCCCTAATGACCTTTGAATTTTTAAAATCGGTGCAGTCGTTGTGATCGAATTTTACTTTCTATAAATTTGGTCCCAGGCGATTCAGAATAACTTGAAACGTCCAGAAAACATACAATCATCATATATACCAGTTTTATTATTAAAATCTTTCACATCAATGTGTTTTTTTTTAAATTTTCAACAAAATTCCAAAGTTTTACTAAAATAAGTGGAGTAAATTTTTAGGTAACTAATAATTGCTTTTGAGTTTTTAAAATTGGTACAGCCGTTGTTGCGATCGAATTTGGTCCCACGTGATTCAGAATAACTTGAAACGTCGAGAAAACATACAATCATTAAATATTCTAGTGTTATTTTTAAAATCCTTAATATCAATGTATTTTGTTCTAATTTTCCACAAAGTTTACAAAAATAAGTGGAGTGATTTTTTTTAGGTAGATATTGTGAAATTTTCTAGTAGAGAATTCGCAATTTAGTGAAAAAAATCAGTTCAAATATTAAAAACTATTTTATCCAGTCTTAAATGACTTAAATAAGGAAAGTATCTTGGAATTCGAGATACCCAGCTGTAAGTCTGTAAATACTTGTATATTGACATCCTAAAAGTTGTCTCAAAACCTACATATGGTAAGCAACTATTAAATTTCAATGTCAAAGGTTACAAAAAACTTTTTTTTGCATTTTTTGTAAATATTTCATTTTCTATGGGCTTTTTGCTATTTGTATTTATCATCAATATTGTAGAGTATAAAATATCATATGTAGGTTTTGAGACAACTTTTAAGGTGTCACATATAAGTATTTACAGACTTGCAGCTGGGTATCTCGAATTTCGAGGTGAACTTACTATAATGACTGGAGTAATTATTCGATACTTATTGCAAATAAGTATCGAATGGTATATGAACTTTCCAAAATCAGATATTTAAAATAAAGAACCCTTTTGCCAAAAATTCTAAAAGTCCAATTATTTCAGTTTGTAAAAATATATTAATGCGTAAAGTGAATTCTATTATTTTCCTTATTCCTCACAAATTCAATCAGTTTCCATTTCCCTCTCAACCTTATCACCTAGGTACTTGAAAATGTTTTTAACTAGTTTTAAATTTCTAAATTATCGCACAGGTGCAAAATTCAAAGCGCAAAGATACCTTATCGTTTCCCAAGAAAAATTAATCAGGAACTTAAAAGATAATACTCGTATTATTAATAGCACCATTGACAAGTGCGAATGCACCTGAATCTCAGTACGGGGGCACTCGTTGGGTACATTCGCACCTGGGGGAAAAGACTTATGGTAAATAAATGAAAGCAATTTTGGATATCACCATGTATCACCAGGGGGAGGTGGGGTCCAAAAATCATCAAAAATTCGATCTCGCAATCAATTGGCAGACATTTGATCATTATTACTTGAGATTGAGAAGTGATTTTTACCATCACTGGGTTGGTTTAGGAGATCTAAATCCAGTAATGTCGCACACGGATACGCACGTGCACTACAAACGACGGGCGGAGACACAAAACGCCCGAAGCGGGGGCCCCACTGTGATTTATTGCGCTTCTGGCCGGGAAATAGGATAATTTAATTAATTAAATTAAGTTCGGTGATGCCCCGAGTTACGAGCGCCCAAGAATCGACTCGTTGCCTCGATATACGAGAAAAATTCGATATACGAACTTTGATCGAGTAAGAGTTTACAGGGCGAATATTAATGGCAAAATGAAAATGTGAAAAGAATTTGTAAGAATGCTTTTCTTACCTTAGAAATATTTTGGCTGTTTTATGATAATGGTGTATTTATTTTTTACCTGATTTTTTTAAAAAAAATTCAAACATTTAAAAAAAAACAAAATTTTTACAATTTTTTCATGGCGGGGTATGGGGGTCTAAAAATTCTTAAAAAATCGATCACATGGTCTCCTCATTGAGGATTATTTTACCGTTTAAAGGAGGGGGTGACAAAAAATTATAAAATATCACGTGGGGAGCCTGATATTTTGTAATTTTTTGTCACCCCCTTCCTTTTACCTGATTTTTTTTTTTAAAAATTAAAACATTTTCAAAAAAAAAATACATTTTTTCACATAATTAAAAATACACGTAATGTTTGGTGGGGGATGGGGGGTAATTTTGAATATCACCAAAGGGAGTCAAAAAATCCTTAAAAAAATCGATCACGTGATTAATAGACTTATCGAATAATGGACCCAAAGAAAAGGTCCCTTTAAAAGTGTGAAATTTATGAAAAATTTTGACAGATATGTATTAAATAAATATATATGATTCAGAGTATAATTCCAGCTAAGGGCCTTACAATAATTTATAAACAGCTTCCTCAGATATGAAAGTTTGTGGATAAAAATCACCTAAATTTTTTTTGTCCAACGAACCATGTCCAAGTCATTCTTACAATACCACGAATGGTTAGGTAAAAAACAATAAATAAACTAATAAATAGTAAGTTGATTTTTATTATCCAAAAAAACACAGTGCTGAAAGAAGGATTGCTCCGAGATGCGAGCAATTCGACATACGAACGAATTAAACTCGTATGTCGGAGTACAATTTTATATCATTCGTAAGAATCCGTTCATTAATCACGTGATCAATTTTTAAAAAACAGTGCCTAGAAAAAATCGTAACATTTTTGAAATTCTCGATTTTTTTTTGGATTTTTCATTAAATTTAAGTAAAAAATAAATACACGCGATATTTTACTAATCTCTCCCTTTGTCTTGTGATATTTCCTGATTTTTTTCTGTCAAAAAGACCTCACGTGATTAATGGACGTCGCCTTTGCAAGGTGTTTTGCAACTTGTATGCAATTCGTCTAAAATTTATATTCGATTCCGTAATGTAATGATGTTTCCAAACACTTAACTTTCTATTTGCGAGTGCTCCATCGTACTTTCTCTATTTAACGACAATTTGCCATTTGCCATCGATAAACTTACAACCATAAGGAAATAATTTACAATGCCCAAACAAATATTTTTTCCCTATTTATCGCCTGTGCGTTAAGATTATTTATTTATTACCATGCGTCCAAGGTTGAATTTGTTATTTTATGTAATACATTGAATTCTTAATGAATTATGACCTCTACAGAATGTTATCGTTGGACAGAGGCATGCAATGATAAAGTACTGATATTAAACTAGACTTGAAATTCAATTTTGGACATGGTTGTAAATGACATTTGACAGCAATGTGTAATGAATTTTGAAAATCTTACCTTTTTATTGCAGAAACTGTTGTAATTAATCACAAAACACGTTATTTATTCTAGACAATATTAGAATATGATGTATTTTATAAGAATTTAATATTAAAATATGATATTTATTGCACTTTACACACAAGACGCCGTCCATTGCAAAACATTGCGGCAGACATTTGACTTTTTCAGTTGTGCAAACAACATAAAATTAAAAATTTCAAATTGTCACACAAATTTAATTTAAAATATATTCATTCAAAATAATTATTATTACTATCTTATATTCATTAACTTTACGTTTCTAATTTTATTTAAACAAATAATAACAAATAAATATTATCTGCAAGCTTAACGGCACGGGCGGCGCCGTTATAAATATTTAACGGCGACAAAATCAAATTAATTAAAAAAATACTACTTTTATCATAAATCGAGCAAGTATTTATATAATTTTAATTGTTTTGTTGGAATTTATATAAATTATAATAAATAAATGCATCAATTTACGTCAATTTTTAAATGTACCTATGGGTTTTAACGAATGCCTAATATGATAATTCAGGCGTTAATAGTAAAATTATAATAATGATAATAATAATAATTATTATTATTATAAATGTAAAATCACATTTAATTTACTCCTTTTTTCTTGTTTATAGTTTACTTTATATTTTATATCGTTAACGCACACCGTTAATAAAGCCGTTGGGAATTAAAATATAATTTATCTAATAGTTAAAATGTTGAAATTCATAAATTAAACTGGTCTAGCTTATGTTAAATAGTATTTACAAATGGTTTACTGATTTTTGTAATTGATAAGTTAATTTATTTCTATACTGTAATGGATTGTCGTTGTCATTAAAATTCCGTTAATTGAAAATTATTGTTTATAATTTTACGCGCATTTGATAAGAATAAATAAATGAATTTTATTCAAACAGTGTTTAGAGACATCAAGCATTTTAATAAAGATTTATAAAGATCAAATTAATATAACTCTAATTATTTTTTTAATTCTTCAAATTAACGGATCGTTATGTTGTCTGCCTGCAGTAGATGTTTATAAATAATTTTAATAACAAAATGAAAATATTATTTAATTAAAGTACTATTGGTAATTATAAATGAAATTTATTAACAATTACAAACTGCATTTAATTATATTAATTATATTAAAATAACATTCAAATATTTTTTTAAATATTAAATTTACAGAACGTTGTATGCCTGTCTGTCAAATATGTTTATAACATAATGGCGGTATTATGAATTAATTTATTTATATTCATAATACTATTGATTATCGCGTAATTATGAAAGTTTTGTTCTATCTTTGAATCCTAATTTGAATTTGAATATAAATTATATTTAAATTTCGTGCCATAAACGTTTATGCAACCGGCAACAAAAATGTTAAAAGTTATAGGTTATATCGAAATAAGTGGTAAGATAAAGTGGATGATAATAATGGGTGGATATTAAAGGTATAAATAAAATGTACTATTTATATTATATTTGGGAGTTCGTCCCTGTTTCCGTGTTTCATGTTTCGTGTATCGAGAGAGAGTCGTCGTCGTGGTCGTCGAGGAGACTTGGCTTTAACTGGCGTGCACGTGCATTTCAGAGCTCCGCAATATACGATGACCCGGTATTATACGCAAACGCAACACAGCTATTCGTATTGTACTTGTGAACTTGCTTATGAATAAAATATAAAACGGGGCTCAAGAGACGCCGCCATAAAAATAAGAACATAACGACCAACGACCATATCCTCTCTTCTTCTCGGAGGGATTAACTTTAACTCGCAACCTCACATTCCTGAGACTTCTTCTTGCTTCGGATTGCTTGGCTTTTTATTATTGTGCTGTTGTGTGCACAGGTGTGCTCGTTGTTGCCCACGATGGCCATTGTACAGATTTCTAAATTATATTAACAACGAAATAGAAAAATATAATATTTGCTTCACCATTATAAATGATAATAATCCCTTACTTTACCAACTAGATGTAAATAGCCTTAGTAACAAATTATCAACTTTTCAATTTTTTAATATAGAATTTAATTATGCCATCACGCCCCATTATATCAAACTTTTTACGAATGTTTGTTGAGACTAAAAAAATAACCAATTAGTTACCACCGTTCGATTTCCAACTGATATCTTAAGTTTTCAAAATCGGGACCGAATTTTGTTGTTGTGAAAACGTGGACGAGCAATTCAGCACTTTTTTTGTTTTTAATTTGATTTTAAAGAAACTGCTTGGCTGATCGTGGTACAAAACTGACTAGTCCTTACCGAGTTACATCGAGGACAAATTTTACCTCACACATTTGTTTCAATTTTGTTCTCAAACGATCCAGAAGAAATTGAAGCCTTGTGATTAATATTAATGTATTTGATGTCAAACGATTCAGAATGACATGCAACGATGAATAATATAATCTTTTTACAGAATCTTTTGCGTTACAGATTTTCTACAAGACACGTTGTAATTCATAATACCGCCGTTTGTTATAAAAATTAATTCATACTACCGCCGCCATTTTGTTATAAAAATTAATACATAACACCGCCATTTTGTTATAAAAATTAATTCATAATACCACCATTTTGTAATAAAATAATTATGGTTAGCAGTTTAAATAATTATAAAATATAAATAAATATAAAATAATTATGGTTGGCTTTCTGAACCTGAACAGTAGTTTTATTATTCTGATCCATTGGATCCTGTTTCTTTCTAAAGATAAGCCTGAAATATTTTCCGAGAAGTTCCGATTGTGCGTTCCCAAAAATTCCATTCCATTCGGTTGCTTCATCCGATCTCGTCCGATTTCATCCAAATCGACGACAAAGCAAAAGCAAAGGCCAAATAATAATAATATAATATTCGTATGAACACGTGTTCATTTCGTCAGAGGACGTCTCTCTCTTCTCTCTTCGGAGTTCCCTTGAATTTTGACCCATACGCCACGATGAATACAAAATTTATATAAATACACACAATAACTGAACATTTTTGTTCAAAGTAACAAAAAAATGTATATATATATACGTAATTATAGGTAATTTAATTACCTTTCTAATGATATATAATAATAATAATATTTAATTAAATTATAACAAAATAAATAAAATTATAAGCCAACACGATGAGGGGTGCCTTATGAAGATTTTGATTTCAAAGATTAATGAATTATTTTTTCAAAATTTTGTTCCAACATATACAAGTTGTTAAATACAGATTTATAGATAATTTTATTAAGTTTTTAACGATATATCATAATACATTAGTATAAAAATGAATTTTATCAGAATCATGCCAAATGTAAAAAAAATGTAACCAATGAAATCCATCAATGGGTGACGAAATTTTGAACTTACTATATTTTTCTTAATTAATTTTGTTTGAAAAGTTATGAAACGTAATATATAGGTTTATAGATAATTTTATAAACTTTTTAACGATATATCAGTAACCAATGAAATTCACCAATGGCTAACTAAATTATAAATTTACTAGTATTTTCTTATTTAATTTTGCTTGAAGAGATATAAAACGTTATGAACAGATTTGTAGAATATATATATATATATACTTATATATTATATATATATGTATAAATAAAATTATGACTTCCATTAAATTCATGATTTCTTTATTTATTTCATTATGCATTAATTTCCATTGTATTTCTTCTACAAAATCTAATTTTTTTTTTCTTTTTTCCAGAATTCAGACAAAAGCCCGCAACCCAATGGTGAGCGACAATTGTCCTGCTAGTTTCTAAGAACTTCATCAAAAATTGTTCGTGTGAGAAAGAATAAAATACATTATCGATTATATCAATCATCGATAAAGCTGTGTGAACTGAAAATAGTTATTCGTTATGGCAGAATTCGAGTGACCTTTATTATAAATATATTATATTTGTTATTTTTATTTTAGAATTTATATTTTTTATAATTTTGTATAAATATTAGAGATTTTATTATCTTAAGTGGATAAATGATGATATGGATGTGTGTGGAAAATTGTGTTTGCTTATTTTCAATTAGTTTTAATAATAATTTTAAAAAGTTGGCGCATTTGTAACAATTGTTTTGTATTTGAAATTGTAAACTGCCAATACTCTTCCTCATTGTAAATATTAAGTTGTAATTTACCAACTGCAGTAATACCCCAGGATATATATATATATATATATATATATATATATATATATTATATAGGGTATTACTGTCCATTATCCTTTTACCAATTTCTTTTCTATTGTTACTGTGTACATAATAATGTTCGATTTGTGAATCCCTTCCCCCAAAAGTGTGTCGATATTTATATTTTTACAGAACAAATGGTCCCGACTTGGCTGTGCTGTATAATTCTGTATTATGTGCACATAAACTTTTCTTATGTGCGTGAAGAACACATTATTGAAATGACATGTATGCGTCTATCATTATTATTATTATTTTAACATGGAAGACCATTTAATGTAAATTGTTCTGTGATTTAATAGATTACTGTACAAAATGTATAGAAATATAAAATATTACTATTATGATCATATGATAAAAATAATTAAATAAATAATTAATAAATGATAAGCGATTGTTTTGCTGCTTGGATTTTCAGGAATAATTATCAATGATAATCAAATATAGAAATTTGAATTGTAGAATTGCCCCATTAATTTAATTATAATTATACCGAGTTGCTGTAGGGCTTTGTAATGTTAGAAACTTTTACAGTTTATTCAATTTTGAACAAATTTGCCAAACATACTAATCATTTTATACAAGTTACAAAAGATATAACAAATAAATACATAAATCTTAGTTTATTTTCTGGATTTTAAAGTATACCAAGTTGCTTCAAGTACGTAGACAATATTATAAACAAAATAATTTTGTACAAATTGTTCTAATACTGCATTTGTATGAGACTTAACATTTAAAAGTTACAACGAATACAATAATTAAATAGACATTTAAAGACTTTTGCATAAATTGTCTATTTTTAAATGCTGTTTTTAAGAATACCGAGTTGTTCCAGAATATTATAATATTAGACAGTATTAAAGATTATTAAATTTTGAACAATATTGCCAAATATTTCATTTAGATTAAAGAAACGTTTCAAAAGTTACAAGAGACAAAGTATTGACCTTATTAAGCTGTGATGTATAATATATTTTCTATTGCGATTATAAAGTATAAGAAGTTACTGTAAAGCATCATAATGTTAAACAGTATTAAAGATTATTAAATTTTGAATAAATTTGCCGAATATTTTGTTAACATCAGACAAATCATTTAAAAGTTACAAAAGATCTAATAAAGAGATGCACATTAGAACACTATCACAAAAATGTTTAGTTTCAAATACTGTTTTAAAGTATACCGAGTTGTTTTTGGGCATTATATTATTAAACAGTATTAAAGATTATTAAACTTTGAACAAATTTATCAAATATTGCATTTAGATTAAAGAAGATTTCAAAAGTTATAAGAGGCAAAGTATAGTCAAACAAATAACTATGTATTTTATTGTAATGTATATTATATTTTCTAGTGCAATTTTAAAGTATAAGGAGTTGCTGTAAAGCATCATAATGTTTTACATTTCTATAGATCATTAAATTTTGAATATATTCCCGAATATTTTGTTAACATCAGACAAATTGTTTAAAAGTTACAATGGATACAATAAATAAATGCACATTCACACACTCTCGTATAAATTGTCCATTATCAAATGCTATTTTAAAGTATACCAAGTTGTTCTAGGGCATTATAATATTCAACAGTATTAAAGATTATTAAATTTTGAACAAAGTTGCCAAATATTTCATTTAGATTAAAGAAACGTTTCAAAAGGTACAAGAGGCAAAGTATAGTCAAACAAATAACTATGTATTTTATTATAATGTATATTATATTTTCTAGTGCAATTTTAAAGTATAAGGAGTTGCTGTAAAGCATCATAATGTTTTACATTTCTATAGATCATTAAATTTTGAATATATTCCCGAATATTTTGTTAACATCAGACAAATTGTTTAAAAGTTACAATGGATACAATAAATAAATGCACATTCACACACTCTCGTATAAATTGTCCATTATCAAATGCTGTTTTAAAGTATACCAAGTTGTTCTAGGGCATTATAATATTAAACAGTATTAAAGATTATTAAATTTTGAACAAATTTGCCAAATATTTCATTTAGATTAAAGAAACGTTTCAAAAGTTATAAGAGACACAATATCAACTATATATTTTACTTAGCTGTGATATATATATTATCTTTTCTAATGAGATTTTAAAGTATAACGAGTTTCTATAGAGCATCATAATGTTAGACAGTGTTTGAGATTATTAAATGTTGAATGATTTTGCTGAATATTTTGTTAACATCAGACAAATTGTTTAAAGGTTACAACGGATACAATAAATAAATGCACATTTATATGGGCTCATGAGTTAGAACTTAATGCAGATTATTCAATTTTCAATAAACTTTCAAAACATGTTATTTGCTTTCAACAAATAATTTAAATGTTATAAATCAATTAATAAAAAATGAGTGTAGTTCTAACATTTAGGTATAAAAATCTTAGCAATAACTCAATTATGCACTCAAATTTTAATTCAAACAACCCTTAAATATGCTACATTGTTCACAAGATGTAAATTGTAACCTCTAGCAAAAAATGTTAACACAAAACAATTCAAAACATTTTAAATGAATAATTTAAGTGTATAAGTGTATAAATAACAATCACACTATCAAAATTATACAGTTTATTCAAAACTTAATTATAAAAACATATAAACTCTTATTAATTAACTTTTCAAGTCTGTCGTCACAGCCAAACTTTCTGGTATTATCCTAGCAACTTTTCTAGGCTGTTTAATTAAAGTATTCGGACACTGAACTTCTGTCCAACTAACAGGTACCATAGGTACCCCGGCAGGGCTCATAGATGCAACAACACCTAGCTCATTTTCAGCTGTTGTCAATTGATAACAATGTAATTCTGTAATCGGCAGCTGATAAAACAATTAAGGAGGATATATGTTAAGGTAAAAATTAAGGTATTTGTAAAAGTAAAGGATACAACTCTAGCTAAAATTATGTCCCCGGGTCGTACACATTTATATATGTCAACTCTGTCTTTTTCTGTAGCTCTGACGTCTTCTTTACGTAAAATCCCTCTTAGGTAAAAGATTTAAGTGAATCAATGCAGCATGTGTTAAAATTTGAGTGCAAATGTAGTTGTACATACCTATAGCTTCTGGACAATGTAGTATCACCGATACATATTATATTACAACGAGCTACCCTTTGATTTACAATCATTACTTTGGCTGTGACAATGTCTCCTGGTGCAGGCACAATACTTTGACCGACTAATGATTGCACTTCTATTGTTCGATTCTGCAAACATAATTGATAAATAATGGAATAAAACTATGTTAATCTGGTTCAATTATTATATTCACCTCTTTTTCTATAGTTATATTGACAATGCCAGCTAATTTGGAATAAATGTATCCCTGACGTTCATATGTGCCATCTCCTGAAATTGTTTTGTCGTCACACAGACACAACCTTTGTCCAGGTAAACATATTAGATTATTTTTGTCCATGACTACAACCTAATTATTTCTTAAATTTTATATTAATACTATGACACTGCAAAGGAATTGTTTTATTTGTTAGACTTGTGGATTGCATTTAAATTTTGAGGTTAGATTTTCAAATAACAGAAGTACCATCTGGCAACATTTGTTGAAACTAAATGGTTCATTTCCATAATATAAAAACCGCTTAATTTGAAAATTCATAATTCAGAAATAGTTTATTATAACTTTATCGCAAATTTTAAATGTGTTGTACATTCTAGAAAGTTCTGTATAAATAAATATTCTCTATTACAAATGCACATATGTCTTCATAAATCAATATCTTCTATGTACAAATTAATTTAGTTACAATTGTTAATTTTACTGTTGCTTAGATCATAATTTTATTCAAAAATATTGTTTAGTATTTAATTCAAAAATTTAAACACCACTAACTTAGTAATAATAATACAATTTTATTATAAAATATCACATCAATCACATTGTTGATAACAAAACAATATAAAAAGTGAATAAATTTGTGAAAATTAAATATTTTTTAAAAATAAGAAACATTTTCCATTCCTTCAGGCATATATGTGAGATTTGACTCATCCTTATGACGCATGTTATATCCTTTTCCATATCCTAAAAACCAACACAAAATATTAAAACATTTTTGAAAATAGTTCTATAATTATTATAAAATTCAAACCTAGCTCTTTCATAAGTTTTGTGGGAGCATTTCTTAAATGTAATGGCACTGGAGGTAAATTTCCACGACAATTTTCAATAGAGCTGCCACATCTAAAAATATTAGTATATAAATATGTATATATATTTTAATACCATGGGTATTAGGAATGCATCTTAATTATTACTTACTCCAACATTGCTCTATAAACTTCCTGGCTTTTTGGAGCCCTAGCAAGATAAACAGCACATTGAGCAAGCAATACATCACATTCAGGCATTCCAATAAGTTGTGCACCTTGAGCAGCAGCAACTGCTAACGACAATGCATGAGGATCAGCTAAACCTGAAACATTTATATTATTTATCAAGGTAACATTCGAATGAGTTGAGTTAATAAACCTATATCTTCGCTTGCAGCACGCATCAATCTGCGAGCAATAAATCTAGGATCATCGCCTCCCTTTAACATCCTAGTGCACCAATAAAGAGCAGCGTTATCATCTGATGCTCTTATAGATTTGTGCAATGCTGAAATTGTATCGTAGTGCTGATCACCTTTACTGTCATACAACATGTGAGACCTCTAAAAGAGAAATATAATATGTATTTACTGTAAAGTAATTTAAAATTACCTTAGGTACCTTTATGCCATCTTTGATGTTTTCAACAGTCATCAAACTAGGTTTAGACTTGTCACTAGTTTCTTTTAAAGATTGTACAGCCAGCTGTAAACTGTTTAAAGCTATTCGAGCATCTCCATCACACATTTCTGCCAACCATTTTATGGAAGCTCTTTCAACTAGAAGACTATAAATATTATAAGGTATTTATTTACACAATTGCTTTGTTTTGGCACATACTTAGCATTTGAATTAACATCTTTAGAATTTTCAATTATCACAGCTTTATATGCTCCCAGAGCCCTGGTTAATATTTGCATTAAGTTATCAACTTCTAACTTTTGTAAAACAATAACACGACATCTGCTTAGCAAAGCGTTGTTAAGACTGAAAGATGGGTTTTCTGTTGTAGCACCTATCAAAGTTATAACACCTGACTCTACGTGAGGAAGAAACGTATCTTGTTGAAGCTTGTTAAATCTGTGAATTTCATCCATGAACAATATAGTACGTCTTTTGAACTTCTGTTCGTTTTTTGCAACTTCTATTATCTTTTTAACATCATTCACACCAGCCATTGTTGCAGATAATTTCACAAATCGAACTGATTGAGATTGTTTGCACTTGCTAGCAATTATATGTGCTAAAGTAGTCTGGAATAAAAGAACAATAACGAGAATGGTAGACACTAAGTTAGTATTTTGATGTTTATACTTTTCCACAGCCTGGAGGTCCCCAGAGTATCATACTAGGTATCTCTGTCTTTTCAAGCAATGTTCTTAAAACCATACCGCTTCCCAGGACATGTTGTTGTCCTATGTATTGGTCTATACAGTCTGGACGCATTATTTCAGCTAGAGGTTTTTTTAAATCGTATTCCGGAAGCTTCTTTTTATTGATCTCCTTGATTTCTGGCTCTTCCTAATAACACAAAACTCTGTGAGCCATAATTATACCTAATAGAATACAGTTTGTTAGTAGAATTTGTTACCGGTTGTGTATCTTCATCATCATCATTGTCATCATCATCACTCAGCTGAATGACTTTATTTGTTTTGAAGAAGTTAGTGCCTTGTACCCCATTATTTGTATCCTTTACCTTACGTTTGTTATCAAAAACAGGAGATTTTCTGCTTGTACTTGTACCATCATTTTCCTTGAACCGTTTTTCAGGCGCTTCTAAAGTATGACTTCTTCTTTTATTTTTGTCATTCATTGTAGGTTCCTCCTGAGTGTGTAGAAAAATACATTTTTCAACGTGAATTTCTATATTTTCTGCGACTTCTTTATTACAAACTGGACATTCCATTGTAAATAAATTGCTAAAAAAAATAATTAGTAAAATTCAAAGAACCATCTTCATGCAACTGTTGACAGCAGTAAAACAGTAATGCCAACATAATTAACTGTCAAAACATTTTTAGCGGGATAGTTGCATTATTTGAATTCGTATTTTGATCTATTGTATATTACAAATTATTGTTTGTACAATGAATAAAAGCTAAATCATACATATATAAGTAGATATATAGACATAAATATATATGTTTTGATTATAAAATCTGCAGACACCATTCAAATTTTTTAAGCAAATATTTACTGCAAAATTCATTAGCTCTTTCATGACTTAAAAGGAGGCATTAAATCAAGCTAAGACTTTGACACAATTCAGCCAGCATAAAGTTGCCGGCGAAGACAGATATCAAGCTGTCAAGCATTTCAGATGTCAAGAGCGCGTCGACCATTTTGTTCATTTTTATAACAGCGTTGCGTCGGTGTATTGTTTTTTTTTTTATCAAATAAGCTTGTTTCATATTTGATATTAATATTATTTAGCTTTTCGTTATGATTCATTCTTTTTGTGTTTATTTTTTGTTATGTCCGATCAAGTTTATTTGCTTTGGCTTTTTGATTACGCGCCTATTTAGTTCTTATTTTAATTTTTACATTTTAGGGTTATGTTTTAGGATTCTTTTCATTCAAAGATCATTTTAGTCTAGCTTAGATTTTATACAATGTTTTAGTTATAATTTTGTTTTAAAAAATAATTTAGACTTACGTTTTACGCATGGGGTTATATTTTATTCATTATTTTTGTTAGGCTTACGTTGTATACATTATTAGGTTTGGTTACGATCTTAACCTTAATTCTGTGGAAGCTAACTAAAACTCAACAAACAACAAATAGAAGGTTCAGTAAATAAAATAAAATTGAAACACTTTTGATGTTATAATACTATATCAAAATACTTCATACTGTCTTGGAATTGACAGATATATTTCGTTTTTTCTGCAATATTTGCTATGAGGAAACAATATATATTGTATTTTAACGTAATATATTGTCTAAGGTAAATGCTATCATCTTGCTATTACACAATATAATAATCATAATAATAATAATACTTGTTTGGCTGTGATAATAATGATCTTGACAGGTTTTAGCCCTGTTTTAGCTGTCAAAGTTATGAATCCAATACATTTCAACTTGACAGGTAACTTCTATTTCGTCGCTAACTTCATGCTGGCTGAAATGTGCAAATGTCAAAATTCTTAGCCTGATTTAAGGTGGTGTTGACTTAAACCATAAAATTTGCATATTCACAGATATGAGCATTTATTTCTATTATTATTAAATACCATAAACAAATAAATTAAATTGCATGATTATTCTTATTAAATTGAGGCCTCAAAGACCTTGGAATCTCTTACCTAGCCCCTCTTAAAGACATCATCAATTTAGTGAAAGTTGAAATGTGCAATCTCTATTTTACAATAAAGAAAGTGGGTTAAAAGTCAGTTTCACTTGATTCTACAGTCTTCTTTGTTTAAATATTGCTAATAAATGAAATTTTATAATAATTAATTTATTTTATAATGATAATTAACTTTATCTGGAGTCTTAAGTAAATAGTGTGTCAAAGAATCATTATAATTGACCCTAAAATTATTAAAGTGATTTGAATAAAGAATAAAATTTAAAGTTTTAAAGCTCTTTATGTTTGTTTAATTAATAATTTTAGATTTTTAAGAATATTTTTGCACAATCTTTGACAGAAGTTTGACAGCTCAAGATGTATGCTTTGAAAGTTGCAAGTGTTATGAAATTTAAGCCTTTTAACAATATTAATTCGAGTGTATATAAAAATCTAATTTATAATTGTTATAATAATTCGAAGTGTCTTTGTACAAGCTCTGTGTTAGGAAAATATAATAATAGAATTGTAAATGAAAATGAGGTTAGAAAATATAAAAGTGTTACAGGTAAAAAATATTGTTTGTAATTACCATTTTGAATTGAATTTGTTCTTATTATTGTATAATATTAATTACACCCCACAGCAATTGCAGTATATTGACATTATATTTTTTCCAGAAAACAATTCCACAAGACAAATCTTAAATTCAACATACTTACTACAATCTTTCAAGTCTAATTCATTACCACATAAATCTCGTGGTATATCTACAAGTGCCCTTGATAAATCCCAATCTAAAAACAAACCAGATTGGTCTCGAGCAGTTAGTGAAGCTGAAAAAGTTGTAGGCTATCCTACATCATTTTTAAGTCTACGCTGGTTATTGAGTGATGAAATTGCTAATGTCGCTTTGCATCTGAGAAAATTGGTGGGAAGCAACCATCCTTTGCTAAAAACTGCCAAGTAATAAAAGACACACACACACACACATATATATATATATATATATATATATATATAAATAATTATATGTATAATTGTATACATGTATAATTGTTTTTAGGAGTTTACTCTATAATGGTAAATCTACCACAATGCAAACATGGGGTCTTATTGTTTTGCTTGTTTCAAAAGCAGCCGGACAAGTAGAGAAATTCGATGATATGGAACAAGATAAAGCTGCAGGAGTCTTGCACAGTCAACGAGCTTTAGCTGAGGTTAATATTAATTATCATATATCAAATATATGATTTTATATTCATCATTTTGTTAAGGTTACAGAAATGATTAGAACTAGCCATTTAGTTCATCAAGGACTTGTAAATTTAAAAACTGAAGGTGATAAATTTTATAACAATGTTAATTCGAATGAAATTACAGCCGATGATAAAACTAATGGCGGTAAGATAATAAATATTAATTGTTTTAGTAAGTATATATATTTATAAAGATATTTATTTGCAGAAAATTTAAATGATATGACTTTTGGAAACAAAATTGCACTATTGAGTGGGGATTATTTATTGGGAAACAGTTGTGTGGAATTAGCAAATTTAAGGTAAATTTATTAACAAAATTTACTCATTTATAATTATAACCTTGTTTCTTTTTTTTTAAAGAAATCAAGAAATAGTTGAGCTTATATCATCAGCATTGAGAGACTTGTCCGAATCTGAATTTATTGGCATCAGAGACCAGCAAAATATTCCCTTACCTTTCAGACCCAAAAGCCAATTGAGTTCTAAGTTTTCGGCAAACAAGTTGAAATTAAATTATTCTGACAAAGACTCTGAAGGTAAAAGAATTATAAATTGATCTAATAATATTTTAATATCAATTCTTATAATTGTTGTTAACTGGTTTTAGCAAATATCACAGAAATTTTTGAGACTTTTGAAAATGAAAAAAATACCTGTAGTGATGAAGAAGATAATTTGAAATCTATAACTTTAGAAAATGCTTTTGATAATCCTGCAAGCGAATGGGAGTTGAGACATATATTATCTGCAGGTAACAATTTTGTATTTTTGTATACTCTAAAACACAATTGAAAATATATTTGGTGTAAGTTTGCCTCAGTCATCTTTTACAGCTTTATTGTAAAAAACTTATATTATTATATTATTTTTTAGGAAGCTTGTTAGGTAAAAGTTGTCAAGGAGCACTTAAACTTGCTGGACATCCTCCTGAAATGCAAAGACATGCATATTTATTTGGAAGACATTTAGCCCTGGCTTGGCAAGCTTGTATAGATTTGGAACCGTTTCAAGTACTTAAATAACAAAATTTCAAACTATTTTATACTGTTTTTTAACATATTATTACTTACAGTCAACGAAATGGCCTTCAACACAAAGATTCTCTTTAGTGAGTGCTCCTATACTATTCCACTTATGTTTACATCCAGAATTATACGACAGAGAAATCACCAAAGGCTTGGATAATGTTGAAAACATCGACTACCAACAAGTTTGTATTCCAAAACAGCCAAATTTACACCATCAACAACCCCTATACTATATTTTCTTTTAGATTCGTGAAGAGGTAGCCCGCTGTGGTGTAGGAGTAGCTTTAACTCGCCATTTACAAAAAAGACATGCTGACCGAGCCAAGAGAGTCTTGCTAGAACTTTTGCCCAAAAATGATGCCACATGTGCTTTGAATAACATTCTAGGAGCCATGGAAGATTTGTGAATGATAAAATAGTAATCGAAAGCTTCCAGTAAAAATGACAATAGAATCTCTTAGCAGTATTTGCTTGTATGAATTTGTGTGTGTGTGTGCGTGTGGATTATTTTTAGTTACTTAATTTATATGACAGGGTTTGGTATTATATTGTTAATTTATTTATATAAATTATATATGAAAATTTTAATTATATTTAATATTGTTGCTTCATGTTATAAAGTTTATATATAGAAATATTTTTATACTCTTTAATAAATATATTATATTAAATTAATGTTTTGTATTAATACATTTTAAAAGGAAAACATACAATCATAAATACAGACATATAATCACAAAGATTTGTACTTTGCCTTCAACGCTGAAATGGAATACACGTTAATAAAATACATACATGTGAGAGTCATTCAAACCACAACTTCTGGCCTATTTTGCATCGTTAGTAAAAATGTATTTTTTTTTTGAGAAATGACTGAGAAAGTTGGGTCAAATGTACCTAGCTTAAAGAAGATTATGTTGAATAATAAATTACCACTTTCATTTGTAGGTTAAGTACTAGTTGAATGACCACGTATATGATGATAACAACAGTTTAGCTTACGTCAGATTCTCCGTATGTTTAATTCATTGTTGTTCCTTCCTTTTTCCTATTATTATTATGTCTAGGGTTCCTTTAGAAAAACAATTATATGATGTATATTGTCTAATCTTCAATCTCAAACTAAAACATATTTCAAATATGGCGACCATCTGTCATCTGTCATTGTGAAGTTGACAGTTGTGAGTTGAGCAAATATTTATGGCGGGAAATTTCAAAATTTTTACAAATGTGTATATATGTACATAGATAAAAGAAGAGTATAGTATAGAAGTGTATATATGTATTTAATTTATATGTTTATATAATGTATGAACATTACACAATCGTTTCTAAATTTAGTTACATTTTGTTATAAAGTTTTGCTACATTTCATATAAAAAATAAAAGATAATTACTATAAAGTCACACCGTATCTATTAAACAAATACATCAAGGTTCTTTCATATTTTTTTCATTATTTCTATTAAATTTATCATTTATCTTTTATCATTATGCAACTAAAATCCTTCAAACGTTTTTGGCAACTGATGAAAGCATGGCTCTTCGCAAACGTCACTTTTTGCACGTCAAAGTGACGTTAATTAATATTTAATTAATTTATTTGAAGCTGAATTGAATTAGATTTGTAAAATATATTTGTAATATAATTTTATCTGTTAAAAACATATAAAAATGGATATATACCTGTTAAATGCAAATAGATTGATAAAAGTTAGACAGAGGATTTTTAAGGTTAGAATTTTTCATACTCATTAAACATTTGATTAAATAACATATATTTTGATTTATTTATATATGCAAAAAATTGATTTAAAGTTTTTAACGACTTGGATTTGTATTCACAATTGCGCAATATAATTTTTACATTTTGATATGTCAATTTTATCAGTCAATATTAGGATAATTTAAAAATGAAATATATTGCCCAAATTAAAACCTTTTAAACGCATCAACAAGGAATTTAAGTTAATTATAACAAGTTATTTTATAGTTAAACTGTTCCTACATAAATATATGTTTTATTATCATTTATTCCTTTCAGTTCTATTCCACAAGTATAAATTCGAAACAAAAAGACTTCTCATTTTCCAAAGATGGAAAAGGTGCAACTAAATTTGGAAACAACATTCTTGTTAAAATGCTGTCCCGCAAATCAAAACAACTTAAATTTACCACAGGTGAGAGACCTTTGTCTCATAATTAAGCCGAAAAATTTGATTATACATGTATATTCCTTTTGTGTACAGGTCAACAATATAGAAACTGCTTTCATCCCGGTGTATCTTCAAGCCTGCCGACACCCAGCATTAATAAAAAAGGTTCTATATGTGATGATGAAGAAGAAACTCATATTTCATCTCGACAAATGTTGAGTGAAATGTTTAAACACATATGGCCAAAGGTAAACTACATATTAACATACATAGTAAATTGTAATTCAACAAATACTTTATCTGTAGGATGATTTTTATATTCGAAAACGAGTTAAAATATCTTTAGGACTTCTGGCTGCTTCCAAACTGCTGAACGTGTGTGTACCATTTGTTTTTAAAGCTGGTATAGATAATTTGAACTTCATTACTCTTAATGCTAGCTCATCGGTGCCAGAAACTGCTTTTGCAGTCACCAGTGCTATATTACTTGGCTGTGAGTATTTTAGCAAATAATTTAATAGGTACACATTTATCATCATGTTTTTTTTTCAGATGGTGCTGCGAGAATAGGTGCTGCAGGTTGTAATGAATTGAGAAATGCTATATTTGCTAGAGTCGCTCAGCATTCTATAAGAAAAATTGCTACAAATGTTTTTTCACACTTGCACAATTTGGATTTGTCTTTTCATCTTAATAAGCAAACTGGCGCTTTAAGCAAGGTAATAGACAGATAAAGGTTTATATATATACATATATATATATATATATATATATATATATATATATATATTTTGTAGAGTTTCGAACAAGAATCCAAAAATAATACAAAATAAAAAACAAGAAAAGTTTTTAAAAAACAATTTCTTTATTTAATTATTTGTTAACTGGCAACGTTTCGGAACTAGGTACGTTCCATCTTCAGGACATCTGTCAAGAAACATGATCTTGATGAGATTTAAGCAAACAATATGTTTAGGAATAGAAAATAGATTTTTCTTAAATAATAAATTAATTGTAACAAGTAATAATGTACAGAAATATGATAATATGATCAAAAAGAAAATGATAAAAATAAATGAGTGGATTATCAGAACAGGATATTAAAAATGATAGTAATTTTTTGAAAGTTATGAAAAATTTTTTTAAGAAAGGCTTAATGATAAAATTGAATTAATTACCTGTATGTTTGAATATACGTTAGCAAACATACGAGAGTCATTCAAACCACAACTTCTGGCCTATTTTGCATCGTTAGCAAAAATGTATTTTTTTTGACGGATTGAAAAAGTGAATGGATTGAAAAAACTGTTTGAATATACGTTAGCAAACATACAGGTAATTAATTCAATTTTATCATTAAGCCTTTCTTAAAAAAATTTTTCATAACTTTCAAAAAATTACTATCATTTTTAATATCCTGTTCTGATAATCCACTCATTTATTTTTATCATTTTCTTTTTGATCATATTATCATATTTCTGTACATTATTACTTGTTACAATTAATTTATTATTTAAGAAAAATCTATTTTCTATTCCTAAACATATTGTTTGCTTAAATCTCATCAAGATCATGTTTCTTGACAGATGTCCTGAAGATGGAACGTACCTAGTTCCGAAACGTTGCCAGTTAACAAATAATTAAATAAAGAAATTGTTTTTTAAAAACTTTTCTTGTTTTTTATTTTGTATTATTTTTGGATTCTTGTTCGAAACTCTACAAAATATACACAAATCCAAGACTCTACCATTCAATATATATATATATATATATATATATATATATATATTGTGACACTAAATGTTTAATTTAGATAATTGATAGAGGTTCACGTGGCATCAATTTTGTTCTAACAGCCATGGTCTTCAATATTGTGCCGACATTCTTTGAATGCTTCTTGTATCAAGTATTTGGGATATAAGGTTTGTCATATTATTTAACATGAATGTCAATTGTCAATATATTTTTTGTTGTATAATTTTAACATTTATTTCTTTTTATTATACGTTTTTTTTTCTAGTGTGGCTTAGCATTTGCTGGCATTTCCATGGGTGTGTATTTGCTTACACGATTTACACATTATTAATAACGCAGTGGCGTACGAAATTCAGAGTGCAGATGAACCAGGTTAAATCTAATAACTGTTATTAATTATTAGTGGAAAACGGTAGTAATTATTCTTTTTTAGGCTGAAAACGAAGCTTCAAATAAAGCCATAGACTCATTGATAATTACGAAACTGTTAAATATTTTTGCAATGAGCCCTATGAAATTAAAAGATATAATAAATTGCTGGAGAAGTATGAAAGGCTAATTTGAACACGAGCGAGAGCTTGGCCTTGTTGAATTTTGGACAAAGTGCTATTTTTAGTATTGCTTTGAGCTCCATTATGCTTTTGGCTGGACAAGAAATCATTAAAGGTAAATATATTTATTTAATAATTGAGAATATGATGAATTGTTGATTAGGTTTTAGCAGAAAGCAAAGGCTTAAAACTTTAAATAAACAAGAAAAATATAAATATAAATATATAAATATATAAATATATAAATATAATAAATATAAATAATAAATATGTATACAATATATAAATATATAAATATTCAAGATATAAATATAAAAGAAATAGAAATATAAATCATATAAATATAAAGAGAAATAATAACATTAAATAGAAATTAAATATAAATATAAATAAATAAATATAAAAGAAATAGAAAAGTATAAATATATAAATATATAAAAATATAAATGTGAAATCTATAATCTATCCCTCTATAAATAAATAAATATATAAATATATAAATTTATAAATATATAAATATATAAATATATAAATAAATAAATATATAAATATATAAATTCATAAATATATAAATATATCTTCTATATATATAAAAATAAGTCGGGTTTTCCTTCCTGACGAAATAACTCCAGAACGCACGAACCGATTTCGACAGTTTCGCATTCGTTGGAAAGGTCTCGGACTCCGCAAGGTTTATAGCTAAGAAAATTAGTGGTGCATGGCATCGTGTTCTAATGCAAATTGCTGGAACTTCACGCACCGTAATTAAAAATTCGAGTAATGACATTACTGTGAATTATCAGAATTATGCTTGGTTAAGTCAACGAGCAATTCTTGCCGCAAAGAATAATGATGTACACCCACTGAATTTCACCATTCAATCAAAAATTGCTGGCGATTTGGTGACATACCAATGATTCCGGCTGGTCTTCCGTTTGACTTCAAACGATTGCAATTTCCAGTTCGCCTTAATAACAAGTCGCAAGGCCAATCGCTTAGTGTTTGCGGGATAAATTTCAAATAGATTATTTAGAAAATCATTTTTCTTTACATGGGCAGTTATACGTTGCCTGTTCACGAGTTGGAAAACCATCCGCTTTGTTTGTGTTAACGTCGGACCAAAAAAACACTTTATTTTTGTAATCGAAATAAATTCATTACTGTTGTATAATAAAATCAAATTTTTCCTTTTCAAATATAAATCAAACAAAAAATTTCTTCATCTTTCTCACGAAACCATCTGGTGGCGAAACGGAGTTCGTCGGGATTGCTAGTAAATATATAAATATAAATCTAAATATAAATATAAATATATAAATATAAATATAAATATATAAATATAAATATATGAATATAAATATATAAATATATAAATATATAAATATATAAATATATAAATATAAATATATAAATATAAATATAAATAAATAAATTTTAGATTTTTATTTTTTATGTTGATTATTTAACTAGATGCATATTATTTTCAGGCAACATGACTGTTGGAGACTTGGTCCTAGTCAACGGATTGGTTTTCCAACTATCAATACCTTTGGGATTTTTAGGATCCGTCTACCGTGAGGTCAGACAAGCTCTTATCGATATGCAATCAATGTTTAGACTAATGGGCCATGAGTGCAAAATAAAAGTAATTTTACAAAACTATTAAAACAATCATTCCGAATATATTTATTCATATTCAGTTATTTTTATAGTCTGATATCAACATGCCCAATTTGGTAATAGATCGCTCCACATCCTCGATTGAGTTCAGAAATGTGTATTTTAGATACACAGATAACATAACTAAACAACCTAAATATCAAGAAAAATATAAAATGGACGGACAATCTAAAGACCAGGATGGTATTAACAAAACCTTCAAAGAGGATTTAATTGATGACGGGAACTGGATTTTGAAGGATGTCAGTTTTACAATTCCTGCTGGAGGACGTTATGCCATTGTTGGAGGATCAGGTTGTGGGTAAGGTGTTAATACTGGTACTTTTTGGTGATAAATGTGTAATAATAAGTGTTGTTTGTTTTAGTAAGTCTACGATAGTTAGACTTTTGTACAGATTTTTTGATCCCCAATCGGGACAGATTCTCATTGATGGCAAAGATATTAGGAGTTTTGATGTGACCAGTGTTAGGCAGAATATTGCTGTTGTACCACAGGTAATAACAGACCCATGAAAAATGTTAATATATTACTGAATTTATTAAAATTTAGTAATATATTTTTGAATAATAGGTAAAATTTAAATAATTATTTTAATTTACTGATTATTCCATTTAATTTTTCCCCAGGAAACAGTTTTATTTCATGACACAATGCGTCACAATCTACTCTATGGTGATTTATCGAGTAATGAGCAAGAATTGCTAAGAGTCAGCAAATTGGCTGAACTTCACGACACAATTGAACAGTGGCCTGATGGATATGACACACAGGTAATATATAATTAACTTATTTACAATTACATGAATAATCATATTATCATAAATGTTTGCAGGTGGGAGAACGTGGCATGAAATTATCAGGAGGCGAAAAACAAAGAGTTGCAATCGCCAGGGCTATCTTAAAAAATTCACCAATAATGATTTTTGATGAAGCCACTTCATCGTTGGATTGTATCACAGAAAATGTAAAATATCTATTTTATCTTTTAAATAAATATTATATATTTATCTATTATCATCTTCTCTTATTAGAATATCTTGGAGGCCTTTCAAAGCGAGTCAGGGCCGCACCAGCCTTTCAATAGCCCACAGACTTTGCACAATCATGACGAGTGATGTTATAATAGTTTTGCAAAATGGCAAAGTTGCAGAAATGGGAAATCATATAAATTGCTGGCTAATGAAAGTGGATTGTATTACAGATTGTGGCAGGCTCAGACCAGGGAATAATAGAGGTAATTGATAATTGGCAATTGAATTATATAATATATATATATATATATATTAGGGAATGCAATACCGGTTTACCGGTATACCGAATTACCGGTAAACGCTTAATTTTTCGACGGTATTTTTACCGGTAAATAACTTAAAAATACCGGTATTTTCGATATTTTTACATGGCGCTTGTGGATACATGTTACATATGTACATGTTTTAAATCCCATGATCGCTGACAAGAAATATCACTTCACGCTTGTGTTATATAACATGTGGCAAAATATTATCTCGACTCGTCATTAAACTGATATTTATTACTTTTCAAAGGGCTTCATATCGTATTTCAATAAATAGAACGACTAATCAATAATGATGTTATTTTATCTTATATAAAAATGTAACGGATTTTTAAAGTGCATGGCTTACTAGTGGGTAATACATACTAATTAATATATGCTAATCATAATTATCGAAAGTATTTTCATTAAAAAACAGATTGTAATTTAATCCTGAAAATTTAAAAAAAAATTAAATATATTTCACGTACAAAGTGTCGCATTTTGAGTATAGTATAGGATCATTATATTGTTTTAAATAAAGTTTCGTATATTAATTTAGTATCAAAATAACTTGTGTAAAATATTGATTTTGATAAAAAGTACTCAATAGTCAATACTGAGTAGTATTAATACTTTTGTTACTGTTATTTTAGCAACGATTATTTTTTCAGAACTCGATATCGATAATTTGTCTCGACTCTTCTAGCACTAGTTATATAGTAACTCGGAGAAACATTATTTTTTTTTGTGTATTACTTATTTAAATTATTCGGGGAACTACTATTTTCTTTAGGCATTAATTCGGGGGGGAATTATTTTCTTTGTGGAAGTTACTAGAGTGCCAATGAAATATCGTCTAATACAACTCCACAGCCATTTGTTCATTGCAAGTGTTTTGTCAGTACGTAGATACAAATTAAGATCGAAAGTGTTTAGTTATATTAATTTAGTGAAATAATTGTTTTAGAATAGAAATTAGTAGTTCAGTGCAAAGTACTTTCAACGCGTAGATACAATTTTGTAGTGAAGTTTGATAAAATTGTGCTTGTGCAAAATTATAAATTGACTAAATTAATTATTGAGAATATATTTTTTTAATTCAGTGCGGAGTGTTTTCCAATAAGTGAAGTTTTAAGTAATTTTAGGGAAAGTTGTTTACTTCGTGCTTGTGGAAAATTATTAATTTTAAAACATTGTTTTTTCATAAAGTATGAATTCAGAACTCAATATATAAAATTCAAGAACATAAGAAAGGAAACGAGGTGAATTCTGTGTGGCATTATTATTTAGTTGCCAAACAAGGACAAGTTTGTTACATTATTATTAAAAATAAATGTTTTGTGGTTCAATTGTTCTTTTATTCTTTGGTTTTT